AATGTCGTCCCCTGCATCTCGCAACCTCCAATCCGCCGCTAGCGGTAACTCTTCTGCGAAGCGTTCGCCCCGTGTATCTCCCAAGAAGGTATCCCCTAAGAAGACATCTCCCAAAAAGGCATCACCCAGGAAGGCATCCCCTAAGCAGGTTGCTGCGAAGAAAGCCTCTGTGAGGAAGGCTGCGGTGCGGTCTGTTGCGAAGAAGGCTGTTGCTAAAAAGGCATCCCCCAAGAAGGTCGTTGCCAAAAAAGTATCCCCCAAGAAGGTCGTCGCTAAAAAGGCATCCCCCAAGAAGGTCGTTGCCAAAAAGGTATCCCCCAAGAAGGTTGTTGCGAAAAGGGCGGCCCCCAAGAAGGCTTGAGTTCCATTAAGGGACTTCTGCTAACAGGCAGTTGAAGGGAAAGGACATTAATTTCTTCAGTGCGTGTCAAGTATCATATCCACACTTATCCACTACACTGCATTCTGAAAATCCTATAGATATAACTTTTCTTTTTACCTTTCTCTTCAGCCGGCATGCCTTGCTAGAGTCCTTCTCCATATAGATTTTTTTTTGAATTCTTAATTATCTTCCTTCTTGTTTGTAGTGAAAAACATTTACAATTAGATGATTTGCATGAACATGCTTGAGTATATAATCTCCTGTTTCCGAAACTGAAAATAAAAAAATAGAAATTATGAAGTGCATTGGGGCTGAATCCTTTGGTATCCTTATGCGGAAATTAAAGCTTTAACTACCTCATTTATTACGAAGTTTTTTACTGACAATTCGAAATCTCATCACTTTTTGTGTTTCAAATTCTCATTTTTTTTTAGAAAAGGATTTGCTCTAACATTTCTCCTTATCTCTTTGGCTTTACAATTCATTATCGTAACATAGAAGGCTGGAAGGCAAAATTTTGGAAGCTGGTGTCAACTGTGCGACTAGCTTATGTTAGCGTATACTTTCTTTCCTCAGGTAATACCATAATGCATCTACCAAACGTTGCGTTTAAAACATTTCTAGGTGACTAAATTAGATTAGCAATTATGTTTTCCCATTAAACTGTGAACGTTTCATCTTGGCAATTCTCATCGGCACATTTAAACACGATATCTTGGAATCATGAGCTGAAATTTAATTCTCCAAGATGAATGTTTTTACTTTTTGTTATATCGAAGTGCTCATGGTGTTTTTCCTTTGCTAAGTTTTTGATATTTTCGGTCGCCGCACAGGACAGAGTCCTCTTAGATTTCTGGTGACAAGCAGCTAACCGGCTTCTAAGGTTCTGACAGGTGAAGACGTAACGACACACCTTGATATCTGCGCTGATTTTAAGGTTGGGGAAGTTGGACATGCACTATGTAAACGTGATGTCTTGTAATTTAGCTTACACAATGTAAATGTTTACTGCTTTTATCTTTAAGTTTTTTTTTGTGTGGTATCCGTTTCTTACCACGAGAAAGTTTAGTCAAGTTCTTTATTCCTCCTTTAGTTTTATATTTACTACTCATTTTTACTCGCATATCCCTGTGTTTATGTGAATATTTTTTTTTACTATAAACCTATGTGCGGCACTTGACTATGTCTTACAAAATATGGACTTCACCTCTTTGTTTACAGTAAAAAATAATCCAATTGAACACTCATATACATATATATGTATATATAGTGAGGGAGAGGGGGATTTATGCAAGTGTATATATATATGTCTATGTATAAGCGCTATTATTTCTATTTCTTTCAAGTTCAAAATGAGTGGAGCTGGCCGTAAACATCGCGCCAAACACCTCACTAGACAATATTTAGATGTCAATGCATGGGAGGGCCCCGGAGAAAACGAAACCTTGGCGGTCTGTACGGAGCCCCCACACGGGCAACACGTGCGTGTGCTGCTCCTAACAACTGTTGCGGGCGCTGATTTATCCGACAAAAAAAATCAAGATAAGGAAGGACAGTTCTTTCAGGAGGTACTTGTTCACGTTCCTAGAAAATTTCATAAAGTTATCTGGTTGGGTATCAAAGATGTACTCGTCGTAGCTGATGGTTGTGTGCAGTTCAAACCCTCACCAGAGCAGTTAGAGAACTTTTTAAGGAATTCAGCCAACGCAGAATGGAATGAACGCATAATTCGTGCCCGGAATATGGCAATTGAGAACCGTCGTGCGGTAGAACGTATGCCTTTGTACAATAAGCAGGCAACAACAACACTTTCTGAACTCCCATGCACAGATAATGTGGATAATAGCAAAGCTCCAGTCGAAAACGGCTTCGGCGCCGGACACACTAGGAAGATCAAAGGAGAAAGTTCTAATCATACTGAAGAATGCAATAGGGACTCCGATAATGACTCTTTAAGTCGAGTTGTTAACCCCAATCGTGGTACTATTAAACATCGTCAGCAGTTCTTTTATGCTTGCGAAGCTGATGAGGAGATGGAGGAAGAAGAAGAAGAAAGCTGAGGACTCCTGCCTGAGATTATCAATAATTAACTTAACACTGAATCTAAATTTACGAAGCGACGAACAACAACGAGATGATGTACTACTGCGATTTAAAAATTTTTTTGTCATGAGTGATAAAAATTGCTTAAAACACTTCTTAAATACTTTAATATATTCAATAATGCTCTGTATGCTATACGTAATTTTATAGGAATTTGAAGGGTGCCTTTTTGTCGCGTCCCGATAGACATCTAGAAGGGATCAGATAGTATATATATACTTTTATTATTTAAAGGGAGTAAAAATACGAATCGTTCCTCATTGTGTGAAGGAGTGAATGAGGTTGAAATCGCGTTCATCTGGAGGCCCCTCCTCGGCGAATTCGTTTTCACAGGTTGACGCTATTCGGACACGTTGGATTGAGGTGTGCAACTTCTTTGCTAAGGTGCAATGTATAGAGACTGAGAGGGAGATGAACAAATTAAGCGCCAAGCTTCCCGCGATTGAGAAGCATCTGGACTTCATCACTGAAGGGTTGAGTCAGGAGAGGAAGGAGTGGCTTCGGGGGGTCGGCCATGCATGCATGTCTCAGACGCGGATGTGGCACCCCTCTGTGGCGGATTCAGTTTCACGCAGTCGAATTTCCGAAGAGCCGCCGTCGCCTGTCATTTATCGAGGAACCAGTCAAGAGTTGGACACTAATGAGTCTTCGAGATCGCCGGAGGCACCCTCTCAAGATCTTCGCGCTTCGGATACAACACTATTTCTGCTTCCGCCCTGCTATTTTTATCTGTTTGGCGACTTCACTCTGCATTTACCTTACGATGAGGACCCCTCTCCACTTCCGGTTAGGGGTGGCAACAACCAAACTAGCAACGTTGATTTGACAATGCACAATAAAGATGACAACAGTGAGGATGGCGACTCATCGATGGATTCCTCAAAAATCCCGCTCGAACCGAGCGTAGCTTCAACGGCAGACCCCCTCTTAACCATAGGACCGTTATTTCTCCTCATGCTCTGCATGTACGCGAAGCACAATCAGCCAGTCGGCGCCCGATTGGTCATTTTGCGTTTCCTAACGCGTCTCCTGAACGAGGTGGATGTACCACCGTGCCTTCATGTTCAGTACGCTCATTTGTACCCCAGCAGTGCCCCCCGTTCTGTTCTGCAGATCACCCCGGAGACCTCGATCGTGCCTCTGTTGGATATGATACGTTGTGTGGGTAGAGATCTAGCCCCCACTTCTGGCGTGCGACAGGTAGAAACGCTCGAAAAGTGGCATTCATCCTCCGTATCCGATGCATCGAGGTTTCGCAACTCCCGCCCAGCCAACTCTTCTCGGACCGAGGACCAAGCGACCAACGTTGCGATGGAGAGGTTGGAGTTTGTGCGCTTTCTCTGTGCGCTTGCGGAAAAAATGGAGCAGGTCCCTGACTTGGCGAACTTCTTTATCACCACCAAAGACGGCGCGGTGGAAGGAACAACCTATGGGGCGGACCAGCCCCCCGAAGCGGGTGGTCCGGTCGCGAAGCCCGCGGAGATCTTGGAGCTGCTGAGGGAGTTGCTCCCGTACCTGGTGCTCGACGCCGCCGCCTCGGATTGTGAACAGCGGCGCGACACCTCCCGCTTCGCGCTCTCGGCGATTGTCTCGCTCGCGAAGTGCCCAGACCCGTGGGTGCAGGATATCGTCGCCGCGGAAGGGGCCATTGCCGACCGGACACTTTTGGGCGCCGGCCACACCCTCATCACCCTGTGCAAAATCCAAGGCAACGACGATAGCGAGGTGCAAAGGGATTACCTGTTAGATGTCTTGAAGTTCTGGTCCGCCCTAACCGTATCCGCCCCGGTCGTGGCGTCCCAGTTGCGGCTGGTGGAGCGTATCGAGAAGGAGTTTGTGCAAACGGCCCTCGTGCCGCTATTGATGTCACCTGATAGCATTGCCTACGCGGCGGCCTGCCTTTTGACGTCCACGTTCCTTGACGAGCTGAATTCGTTTGCTCCCGCCGTGACCACCGCCTTTGGGAGTGTTTTATTGGCTTCTGTCGTCCATGTTAGCAACGGAAGACGCTGCGAGGACGTCCCTGACTACTATACCTACTGGGTGGCCGCACATGAGCGGGAGTGTGCACGAGGGGCCCACAATAGCGTCGTGAGTACAGATTTGTATACGTCTTTCTTCAATTTTTACATATTGCCGCACCTCACCACCACGTCTGTGCTCTCAGATGAGAGCCGCATCACTAAGGATTCCCGAAGACTTTCGTTTACGGAGTGGACCGCGACTGAGGCCTCTTTGGTGCTTATCAAATCCATGGCAGAGAACCTGCCCGTGATGTTCCTCAAGTATGTCTTGTTGCTTGACGTCAGGACGTTGACGAATGTGTGGAAAAGGTTTAATCCCGAACATGCTGAGCCGCATGTTGAGGGAAGCAGACGGATGCGAGGGTGGTTTGCTACTACGTTTGCACCCCTGATTGAAGTGAATGACTGCTTCACTTCTTACCTTCGTACTGTCAATAAGAGAGTGTGTGGGATCACCGACGAGCAGCTTGCTCAGGAGGTGCTGGAGCGAATGCTTCGGATCGAGTCGAATGCGCCTTTGAATTACTTGCATCAGCGCCAGTTAGCCGAGGGCTCGTTTTTCCAAGATTTTCCTGATCTGCCAGCAAGTTCGTCTGGACAGCGCGAGGACGTTCCGAATGAGCGACAGGATATCGAGGAATCGTCGTCGATGATCGCTGATGATACCGATAGGGATGCGAGCTTCACCCTTGCGAAGGACGCACGAGCCTCCGAGATGCAGGTGGACCCTGACAAAACCAGAAACGCCTGGTTCGACGAGGGCCCACATCAAGCCCCGTTAATTATTTCCCTTAGCCGTATTCTTTTAAAATTGCTTGATCTCCCGTACCGGGTCCATATCATTCTGACACAAACTCTTATCACGATTTGTCTTCTACCAGATTTACGTGTCCTGTACACCCTCATGGACTCGGATCACGGCCGGCTATATCATAGTTTACGCGTTCTGCGGGATTCGGTTCACAAGTTGTTGGATGGAGACAACAAAGCGTCTTTGGTTATGGCTAACGTGATGGTTGCCGATTCAAACGGCAAGGAAACTAGCAAACGGAAGGGGGGTACCTCTAGGGACAACGACCAGGGCGCTGGCATCGATACAAAATCTTCGTCCTCGACCTCCCTTCCAAGGGCTTCAGAATTCCCTACCCTCATCTTTCTGTATAACACGTATCTTGAACACTGGGATTGCCTACCGCGCCCTGCTCTTTGGGATTGTGATGACCTTGGTGGTCATCCTGCGCCAGATCGTCCACTACCCGCGTTGCTTCCGGAAGAGGTTGGCAAAGCACTCATTAATAATCAGTCATTTTTGGAAACTTGCGCGGTACTCGAGATGCTGCGCTTAGAACTCAGTGCGGTCGTGGGGTACATGACCCTTTCGCATAGTCTTTTGAATCTGCAACCTGGTAAAACATAGGTAAAGGATTTATAGGCATAACATAGTAACCATCAAATATGAGAAAAATACTTGAGGCTCTCTTGCTGCGTATAGTTTGTGTTATATCAGAAATAATGCCTCGTGATATAGTACTGATCAAAAGGCTTCATTTTATTCTTGAACGAGACGTATTAAACTTCATTGGTTTAATGATTTTCACAAGCTCTGCACAAGTACTTTTATCTCTCAGTCTTTTTGTCATTATTTCTGCTTTATTTTTCATCCCCTTCGTTTAGAGTGTGCGTCCCTATTTATTGTTGGGTTACTTTGTCTGCTGAAATGTCACACAACACATTTTTTATCTCTTTCTTTCTCTTGCAGGCTCTTCGGTGAATCAAAAGCAGTCCGCTTTTAGGGGCGAATGCTAAAGGGTAGGAAAAGGCATCAGTAGCTGTTTACTCACCGTTTGAGGAAGTTCCTGTGGTTCCAAGCACGTTACATTGTCCTCCGAATTATGCTGGAGCTCGACGGACGAACGCTGTCATATTCCGAGTTCAAGGAAAAATGTCTTCGGCCGAACCTCCCTGCGATTATACACCACGCGAATGGGTTGTCCGACTCGTGGTTTGACGTTGAGTTGCTGATCCGCCACCTCTCCCCGGAGGGCCTGCTGGACGGCTTTGGCGACGCTCACATCGTTCCCGTTTGCGCGATCTCAACTCCCTTCGCCAGGGAGGCCTCGCAAGCGAAAGGGGCGGCGGACTCCGTGGGCGACGGTTCCTCCGCAGCAGTCCCCCTTTGTCAGGTCCTGGGCTCCTGGCTCTCCCCCCCTCCTCTCCTCTACCTCAAGGACTGGCACCTGCAGCAGGAAAGGGAGGCTCGCTTGGGGGGAGGGGATGAGAGCGGGAACGAGGCCGTGCGCATGAGGCCGCATGGCGTCGGCCTCTATCGCGTGCCCGATTATCTTGGGGGGGATTGGCTGAATGGCTTTAGTGCGGAGGCCGCGACGGCCTCATCCGTGCCTCCCTTATGCGGGTTTGGTAACGGGCACGAGGATTACCGATTCGCGTACATTGGCCCCACCGGCACGTGGACGCCACTGCACTATGATGTCTTTGGTACCTACTCTTGGTCATTTAATGTTTGTGGGAAAAAGCGGTGGTTTTTTCCCACACACGAGGGGAACGAATTTCTTAAACAACACACCATCAAAGGCTTCCCAGCCCCGCCCGACATTCGCGTCTTGCAAGGCTTTGAGTATTGGAGCTTCGTGCAGCACCCGGGTGAGTTGGTGTTCGTACCCTCTCATTACTACCACCAGGTGCACAACGTTGAGGGGGAGGAATTTGAGCTCTCGACTAGTCGATCTTTGACATGCTTCCAGACTCCAAGGGAAAAGCGGCTGCTGTCGCTTTCAATTTCAGTCAATCATAACTGGTGTAATGAGTTTTGTATCGAGCGCATGGTTCGTCTCTTCCTCGATGATGCTAGTTATCTCAGACAAAGTCTAGATTCCATGGATATGGCAGCCGCCTATGGCCTGGATAATCCTGTTCTATGGGCTCAAAAGCTCGAGGAAATGCTACTTAACGGAACTAACTGGAGTTTCAGGTCGATGCTTTCGTTCTTAGGATACATCCAAGCTCAATTTCCTATGTTAGGCGAGTCTGTGATAAATACTTTAGTATCACTAGAGTCTAAAGTGCGTGAGGCACAGGCAACGCTATTCACATGAAATCTCAGAGACGTTGGTAGAGACGGAGGTCTCCATTTTTTTTTAAATCTATTCTTTTTTATGAGCGATTAAAGGATAGCTTTTAATCTTTTAAATCTTTAACGCTTTTATTATATGCTACGAATCTTTGTTGGGCTCTATGCGCAGTAGACCAACATCGAGGAGGGGGATGGGGGAGAGGGGGGGATGAACGTTATGTGGGATTCTTTCAAATTAGCAGGTATCTGTGTCTTGATTTTTCCAACGTATCCTGCGCAAGAAGAATCACAAATTTGAATCTCGAGCGCGGTTTAGTTCATCGATGGAGAAGCACAAAAAACGAATTATTCAAACACTTCAAGTGCATTTTGGTGTTTACTCCACGTACCGATTTCTCGATGTTCCTTCGCTCCCCCAATAAATGCTCCATCGTGCGAATAATACAAATTAACCTTTCTTGATGCTTCTCTGCCTGATGTCGGAAGCTCTGATTTTCTGTAATTCAGCGCAATAAAATTTTTCCTTACATATTTCTTTTAACACCTTGAGGAATTGCTACTTTACTGTTGCCAGTCAGGTGATATCTGCTTACGTCCTGAGCCCTTTGGAAAGACAAAATATGGATTATTCTTATTTTCACTTTTTCCCCAAGGTGTTTGACTAGAGCGACCCCCTGGAAAAAAAAAGTTGAGAATAGTATCCCACTTCACAACCACTTTAAATGTCGCTGCAGGCTTTAGATTGGATCAGCTCGAAGCTCGGTCTCAATATCACTGGCCGTGATGACAAAGGGGCCACCGACTTCCGTTCAAGTGGTTTGAATGGGATGGAATATCCCAACAATTCTATGCATCCGGCGCCTACGACGTTTGAAAATGATTTCAGTCGCGATGAGGATGGACCGATGCTTGGCAAGTACTTGAAGCAGGTCAACCAAAAGGTTAGTTCATGTCTTGGAAACCAAAGTAGCACCGTCAGAAGCTTTTTACAGGCTTTGGGTGGCGATGGAAGCAAAAGATCGTCTAATAGAAATGGAAATGCTATATTCGGTGCGGACGATGCAGTAAACAATGAGCTCGATGAAAATGGCTTGCCGGTGACCAAGAATTGGTACTACTACGATAATCAGATCGGGCGGTGGAACGTGCTACCGGACGCCCCTGAGGCGGTTCGTCGGGAATACGAAGAAAAGCTCCGGGCCGAGGCGAATCGAATGGAGCAGCCGAAAATCGCTCCGCCTCCCCCACCTCCGGTGATGGCGGGACCCCCACCCACCAGCGGCCTGAGCCCCCCCCCCTATGGGGGCGACGCCCTTTCGAAAGGCCTGTTTGCCCCCGCTCCGGCCCATGGGGGCGGCCTCGCACCTCGCATGACCGGCCCGCGCTACTCCGTGCCGGACTACTTCAACACGGCCCCACCTTCCGCGATGGGGGAGGTCGCGAATCCACCCCCGCTAGGGGGGATTTATGCGCCTTCCTCCGGCCTCGAGCAGCCCCTCGCAGCGGCGGCGACCCCACCGCAGGGGCCTCTCCCTTTCCCTTCCGCCCCGCCACCGCCTGCGGCCTTCCCGCAGGCCCCGGCCTTCCCTCGCTTTCCGGACGCGACCCCCCCTCTGTC